CGCTTTCTCGGTGAACGGAAGACGATGAGAAAGAATAAACACCGATCCATCTATCGAGCAAACACACACGCCCGCGTTTTCTACAGCAGTTTCGTTCAAAGTTGTGTTTTGTTTTGTTGTCGCATCTATAGTGAGCGTGTGATACTCATACTTATCACGATGCACCTACAGTGACTTCGCGCCTTTCCCTTGAAAACATTTCTAACCTGTCCGTGAAACAACGTTACTCTCGCGAAACGATAAGTGCAGACGACTACTTGGTTCGATCTTACCGTGCGTCATTGGACCAAACCCGAAGGTGTCTGCTTCCAGGACTTGACTGGCTAATGACATTTTCAGCAAACCGCATCCGTTAACATTCCGTTGCAGTTCTCGGCGTTCCTGCACGACCTGCGCGGTTTCAGCGCCTCCAAGTCCCGCGATCTGGTCGAGAAAGCTTTCGGAGAAGCCATCGGTGCCTGCAGAGGGGAAAAGGTCAGTCAACAATCCCTTTCCCCGCTTCCACGGACTCAAATCCCGGTGACAATTCTAGTCTGTTGCACGACTTGCGCACACGGTTTTCTTCTGTCATGGTCCATTTGTTTCCATGTTACGAGGTCCCTGTCGGTTTACTGATTGTATTCTCATGCGCGGAGAGCAATATAACAAATGCCGTGGCACCGGCTTGTATTACCGCCAGCTTCGCATGGCTTCCCTTCCTCCCTGGTTAGGTCTCAAATGAAAAGCGCCGAGATCCCTGCTCATCCGTGAGTGCAACGTTTCGGCAAGACCATCGACGGTGCCCAAAACACAGTCGAATCCTTCCTGCTTGTTCCCGCCACCATTTGCGTTTCAATCTTCACGCCGCGCGCGTATCACTCCCACAATGTGTAAGGAAAGCGCGCATGTTGGTGTGTCGTCTTCGTATTCCGAGCGGAAACAAACATGGCGGACACATTTTGTGAGTGAAGCTCACATACCCAAAAACAATCGATCGTGACCTCAGGGACGGCAGACGGTGGGGACAATGGGGATGATCGAGTTCCTCTTCTGTATTCTGCGTCTGGCTTGCACTCGGCACATCAACTCCTCCGGTGGAAGCTCCGCTGGAAACGTCGGCGGTGGCGGAGGTGGAGGCGGTGCTTCGGGGGAATCGGTCAACTCGTCGAAGATGAAATGGGCTAGCAGGCGGGTACACGGCAAAAGAGTCCGCTGTGATGCTGTGATACCATTTGCTTGAACTGAAACACTTTTTGCTTTGTTTTTTCTTTTGTCTCTGTGCTGGTAGACTATGTCGATACATGTCTACTGTAGACTCACTGCAAGGTTATGTGAGTTCATGGCCCCCGCCTGCCTCCCGTACACTCTCTGCACCCCTGCGTGCGTTTGGCTCTCGGCGACACGCTTCGTATAAACCAGCGTGCACGAAGCGGTGGATCTTTTCATGAAGAGCGTCATGCTGCCTCTGGCACACCGCAAGGTCATTGGCCTTCAGATCAAAACGTAAGAAATGAGTTTGTCCGTTTGACAGTGTCCTCCTGGTTGTCATCGATGGGTTATGGTACGCATCGGGTAAATTGCAACGTTTGGTATGGGCTCTGGTTGCCGCTTCAGTATCGCCCATTCCCCCGAATTCAGAGGGAAGGTGGAGATGAGCTTACACAGGGTAGTATTTCCCATCTCGATTATTGTAGCCTAAGTCAAACACGAAGGAATACGGAGCGATAGCATTACACAGGCATCATCCATGACACAGCATAAATATTCACCTGGGGGTGCGCTCTTCCGTGCCCCTCCCAACGAATGCGAAACTCTTGCCTAGGGCTCTCGACTCCGACGATACGCTAGCGCTGTACCACGACCAAGATTCTAGGCTCAAGTCGGTGTTCGACTCGTACTGCAAGGCCAGCGACAGGGCAGGGGCTCCGGCCGCCCTCGGGGTTCTGCTCAACATAGCCGAGTTTCGGATGATCCTGAGAGACTCCGGCCTCCTGGGGGGTAATAACAAGGTGGCTGCTACTGTGGTGTGTGGGCATCGTCATCGAATACAGTTGTTCCAGCTGATATTGCAAGGGGGTTTGAAAAGTAGGATAACGTGGTCCCAAGGTCCGACCAGTATCGAACTCGTGCCCGCACCAGGAAGAAGGTGGGGCACAAAAAAAACAGAAGAAAAAAGAAAAACCTGGTGTTTACCCCCCTCCTATGTGACCCTGGATGGTTGTAGTAGTACGGAAAAATACACTTCAAAGGTGTAGTAGTCTACACGTCTCACCACGGAAAATTGTCGCCATAAGAAGGAGGACGAAAACGCACACACACACCCGCACTGTTTCGATGCGAAACTTCTTTCGGAGGTGGAAAGAAGCCAAACTTTCCTCACCGAGCCCCAAGCAACATCTCGAAATGCCATTTTTATCAGGAGGACGATGAGCTGACGGCCAAGGAGGCGAGACAAGCGTTCGCCGGAGCTCAGAATGACCTCTGCGGGGGAGATAGCTACGAAGCACCTCCCCCCCCAGGCGCTGGGCCTCAGATCGAACAGGTGCGAATGGCTTCGCGTACCTCTTGTTGGTTGGCATTGTGTCTTTGGAATTAACTCCATATTCTGGCTCGTTTCGTCTTGGATCTCAGCCTCCGAGCCTCAGCGACAAGCGTGACTTTTTGTTTGCCCTGCATCGATTGTAGTCCTGGATTTGGGGTTTTGGCCTTATGGTCGTGGATCTTTGGTTAATGTGCCTTGTTTGGGTGACCCTAACCAGAAAACGATTTCGCCGGTGTGTAACCAGGCCTGGGCGACTGTGTGGTGCGAGGAGACTTGACCTGAACAAATGCCGTCTGTGCATTGTCTTGTCTCAGATGACGTACCCCGAGTTCCTGGAAGGAATCGCCAGGGTGGCCATGCTCAAATGGGAGGACGCCTCCTCCTCTCCAAAGGCAAAGATCGAGCGCGCCATCAACGCCGTCACCTCGCTTCTCGACGACGGCGCCACTAAACCTACCACTGCCAGCTAACGCGACCCCACCTCAGATACGATCTTTGTAGTTGTTGGCCCGCTTGTAAGACGTTAACAAGTTTGGAGCACTCCATCCTCGGCAGGGATGCAACAACGAGGGACAGTGAGCACTAGGCGGCATTCGTATTTCGGTAGATGTGCATGTACTTGAAAAAAGCCCGTAAGAAGCTGCCGCTTCATGTACGCGGCCCCGACAATAGTGCGCGAACACGCATCTGTTTTTGGGCGGGAGTAAATGGGTGTACGCACATCTCTCGCGTGTCCTTCGCCATCCTTTCAATCACGGAACAGTTACGCCGTGATTGAGATCGAGGCACGTCCAGATCACGCCGGCCATCGGCGGAAAGTCTCGCTCGTATACCTGGTGCGAGGGCTTGGACAGCACCAAGGATACAGACACCTCGCTGCATGCTTGCCATCGAAGGCGTCCTCGACAATATGTGGAAGTACTGGAATGCATGATGACTTGAGTACGCCGGGACGACCTCCCATGAATATCTACTGTTCGGCGACTACTAAAAAAGCATCAATATGCCGTAAGCCTGTTCACACAAGCATAACGGCTTTGTCGCAGATTACGAGACACGCCATAGCGTGGCAAAATACTCCTAAAACACAGAACAATACAACCATGAAAGGGGGTCAAGCACGCGTATAATGTGACACGCTGTCGGACACGCCATCGTCATCTAGGGAGGGGGATCCACAAACGGGAGGTAATTCCGCCGTGGTGAGGGCCCCCGCGCCCCTCTCTACATCTCCCACGTCCTCTGAGAGAGGTGGGCGACAGAATAAAAGGAATACAACGCCTTGCGCTAGCATAGCCTAAAGCGTGTTGAAGGACTGCGGCACCCACCTCCTATCTCCATATATATCATGATGCAACGAACCCCCCTCCACCGCCCTTTCCCCGCCTTCGCAAGCCGGGAGTTACATTAATACATCTCATCGCCCCTCCGAACTATTCAGCACGACCTGATCACACCACGAAACAAAGGCGAGTCCATTTGAAACGAAAGAGCTGAGTTCTTTGAAAAAATAAACCAAGTGACACATAGATGCGTTCCGTTAAGCCACCCTTCCCCCGCCCCGGTCGATTGACGGGGGTGCGTCCACCCCGAAAATCTCTCTGATCCCATCGATGTAGGGAAGACAAGAAACATATCATAACATGGATGCTCCCGATGGTACAAGAAACACCCAACACGCAATGTTGATTTGGAAATGCCTGCCACCGAGAAGCGGGGCAATGAAGGAGGTTTCGTGTCCTCGACACCTCCCTCTGTCCCTTTCTTCTCCGTGCGATCTAGGCCTGCACAGCGACACACCCACACGCATCAAACTCGCGACGGCTAGAAAACAACACCCTGCACCAAATAAGAAAAAAAAACATTTGATACACAGAACAACACGGACAGACACAAAGGCACCGGCTATTATATAAGACAAACAGGCAGAGGCACAGATATATAACTAGCGGAGGTCGAGTGAGTCGTCAAACTACACCTGAAGACACGTAACGCTGCGTGTGTGTAATCATTCCTCCGAGCATAAATAACACTCAACAATATTACCACTTGATTGCACCCACGGCGGTGCCGCCGAACGTATGGCGCTCCCACTCCAAGGAAGCGCGAAGCTTGACGAAGTGTCAACAAACATGCACATCGGCTTCGTGGCAAGCTCGAACACATGACCCCCCACAAAAGACGCGCTCCCCCAGGTGGCCTTTCGCTCGCGCACGGGAAGAGAGTAAGACGTCTAGAAACAAGATGTCCGATGCCGGCGAGCGGCCTCTGGTCGGCGAGATCGTCTTGTTCCATCGGTGGCGGTGCTGGTCCCGCCTGGGTGCGGTTTTGGCTGGTGTTGAAAGCAGCAGTTCCTCCGGGGAAAAAAAACGATTCTCACTGGCTCGCTTACGGATTCGGCGCCTGGTTCCACTTGATTTCGGTTACGGTCTCTGCTTGGTTTGGTTTCGGCTCGCTTGGTTTCGGGTACGCTCCGACTGACGTTGTGGTTGGACCGACGTTTCACCATGTCAGATCCCCAGGGAAGAACTTGTCCACGAGGTCGCTGAGATGGTTGTGCCAGGCCCGCTCCAGGTTGGCCTCCCGCCGCTGCACGGTGACGCTGTGCAGGGTCGATCGTCGGATCGCGTCGAACTGGCGCACAGCTCTGTCGTGGTAGCAGGGCAGGGGTGGGAAAACGTTGTGCTTGTGGTTTTGTCGCAAACTCTCAGCTGACGAAAACGACACAGCATGTGTTTTCCAAAACAATCAGGTGTCGCAAAAACAACGAAATTCCAACAACATACCACACCCCGGTGTCAAACAACTTTAATGTAGTTGACACACAAAACACCATGTCGTCTATAAAGTTAGGTTAAACACGACACATGTGTGCCCTCACATGAGGTTCACACCATCACGTGCTGATGAAAAAACGCCATTCAAACTTACACTACATCAGATTCACATGTCCGTCCCCCGGCGTGGCATCAGACAACCTCCTCCGAACAATATCAACGGAAAAAATAACACACGAGATTTCACCGAAAACTTGAGAGCTGCAGCTTTTCACAAAGGTGCCATAATACAACAACACAGTCCCATCATCGGCGAAAACGCTAGGGTATTCGCTATCCTGATGGGGTGCCAGTAGTTGTACTGCTCGCTCACCTCTTCATCTCTTTGTCTACGGCGCTCTCAAGCTCTGCGTAGCCGTCCCTGGCGTGCCACGGCTCTAGCGGATAAAGGCGGAGCATCGCCAACCCTCGCGGGGGGATACTAGTGGCCCCGTGATTCCTGAGAAGGGGTAGAAACGAAGGGCAGTGCCTAGGTGTCATTACCACCACCACAATTGTACCCCCACAAACAACAAAAACAACAACAACAACAACAACAACAACAACAACAACAACAACACATCGCCACCTACGACAACTCCACCAACACGAGGTAGGAAGAGGAGCAAAAATCGGCTTGGGGTACACATACCCACATACCCACACGGCCCAACCCCACCAGTTCACACCAACAAATATAAATTCACCTGAGCACCATGTGCATGTACTCAGGACCAGTGAAGCAAAGGAGAACGTTCTCGAGGCCCAACCCTTCCCTGTACATTCCGGTGGGCTTGCCTCCACCGGCCCCGTATCGCTCATCGAGGGCGTCGTCGTTATCATCGTTGTAGCTGTTCGTCCTCGGGACGCAAGGGCACGCGCATGAAAGAGAGAAAAAAAGGACACAAAGAGGGGTCCACATGGTTGGGTCAGCACAGTTCACGCGCTGGAAAAAGTGCCACAAACATCAGGCAGCGTAGTTCGCGGGCGACAGGCAGTGACGAAGAAGTGATAAGAGGAAAATACGGGGGTCTTCCTGGCACACTTGCCTACAGTCAAGCGCTGGAAAGTGCCCTGGACATTCGATGAAGGCGTCGGCTTGTGTGCCAGCTGTGGAAGCCACGCTTAGAACCACCTACGTCCGCTAAAGCAGCGCCAAAAAAAAGAACCAAGCGCAGGGGACCCCTGCCTACCTGGGGCAAGTGATGCCGTCAGGAAACGGGGCCCCGACCACCCACGAGTACTCCCCCAGGGCACACTCCCGCTCGGTCGGCGTAACCCCCGCAGCAGCGGAAGAATCGCCAGCAGCAGCACCACCACTACCAAAACAGGCGCCGCCAGCACCAACGGTATCTTCCCCCAGGAAGTACAGGATGCGGCCGAGCCCGTGCACGAGACCGATGGCCTACCGTCGACGTTGGAAAGTATTTGGGGCGAGCGGGAGGGAAGGGGGAGGGGGGGGGGGNNNNGGGGGGGGGGGGGGGGGGGGGGGGGGGGGGGGGGGGGGGGGGGGGGGGGCGTTCTCATGCTTAGCATGCCTTAGCGGATAGACCGTTGAAAACGCGTCCTCGAGAGGACGTAGCATTGTTCCCACAGGGCCGATCAGGCGGGACATATCCCAAACAGGTCAGGGCCGCGCGAGACATCGGAGCTTCGCGAGAACGCTCCGGCTGTCGTCGATGAGAGGGTCGTTCGAAAGCACCGGAATGAGTTGCTGGTAGCTGTTGACTGTTGCTGCGCAACTTGCTGGGAAACGTTCCAAACAATCACCACTGATAGATAGATTAAACAACGATTTCTCGAGGTACGTCTAGGTATGCCTTCAACGGATGGTTTCCAAGCGCAGCCCACGGGTCGGAAATCTGGCAGCAGCAAGACGCTGACACCTTCCAATAGCAGACAAACCACCGGCAACGACGGCTAAAATCACCGCACATCTTACGAGTCTTCAAACCAGCAACACGGGAGACTTTCGTCTGCACAACACACCCCATGAACTTGCAGACATTCGTATTTTATTCACCTGCATCCAATCGGGAAGCCCTTCTTCCCGGATGTCCTCCGCCGTGAGCACCATCAGCCCCGCCAAGCTGAGCTTCGACACCGTCCCCGACTGCAGGGGATCATGGTGCCGGTCGAGGAGATCTAGAGCATCCTTGATCTAAGCAGGGCACACGCG